TTTTTTTTGCATTGCTTTGCATTGCATTGCATCTGTGATTCTATGCTATGGCGATTTTGAGTTTTCGAATCTTAATTCAAGAATCAAAACTTCAAAAAGTCACTGATTTATAGGTTATAATTTCTTTAAATAAAATATTTTGTCGAATAGTGATATTTATTTTATCGATTTTTAAAATGTGAACATGAATCTTGCTGCATTCTTGCATGTGCGCTCTTCAAGGCATCCACTTGCATGGTGCTTCCAAGAAAAAAAGAAGCAAAAAAAAAAGGTCAGTTGCCATCTGATGATCTGCATCCTTCATACTTGTCTCTACTATTTTATCCTGACTGTCATTTCATTTCAGTCCATGCATTTATGTGCGGTAATATCACAGGAAACATCATGGAAATGTCACCTTAATGATTTTGATTTCCAACCCAGTTGGATTCCACTGCATCCGTTCTCTCTGCCGTCATCATGTAAAAATCATCATGCATGGAAACATCATTGAATCATCATTGAAACATCATCATGGCAGCGTCATGGAGGAAATATGATCACCTTAAGCGCCCGTGGCTCATTTCGTCATCATTTTTTTTTTCTTCTGTAAAGGCACTTCCAGTCTGTCTATGCTCCTATATAACACTTTTCTTTTTCGGTTTCTTTTTTTTTTTTTTTTTTTTTAGTTCGTAAACGTTTTAAAAACTTCTTTTTGGCACTTTTTTCTCTACCTCTGCCACCTAGTAATAGTAATAGTGGTATCACAGAGTCAATGCATCACAAGGACGTTCGGACTGCGAAGTATAAAGCATCCATGAGTGTATCTCTTCAAGAAGATAGAAAGACTTCGTACTGGATTGCGTCCCCGACGCGTTTCGATGGCCGCCACCATCTCATCAGGGGGTTTCCCACCACGTTCCCACACTAGTCAAACTACCCACGCCATCCCTCTCCCGTCCTTCACTGCGCTAGGTCTCCGGAGACCGTACACAGGTCCGGCCGTTAGTCCTGCTGATACTACAAGCAATCGATGCTAATATAGCCTAGACTACTTGGAACGAAAAACGCCTACGAAAAACTATCGACGCAGGTCCCTACCCGTAGTCCTACTCGGGGCCATCCTTCCAGATCGGACCAAGCCTGGGCCCGTCGTCGTACGAAAAAAACACTCATCAGAGCCGACAACCAAAAAAGCAACCCAGCGGGCTGCGATGTAACAAAGTCAGGAAAAAACGCAGTGTCGGTCCTAGTTGAACCAGTATACCCTGTTTAGACAACAGAAAAAGGGGGGCCAAGTTCACACTGCAGAGTCCACCCATACTCTGTCTCGGGTTGCCGACACATCAGATAGCGAAAGAAATGAAGCACGAGGCAGTGTCATCCTAGTCTGAACATGTATACCCTGTCCCGTCTCACACGCACACCCAACAAATTCTCAGTTCACACCGTAGACCGAAAAACAGAAAAGTGGGAGCAGGACCGTAACAGGCAAGTCCAGTACACCCTGTCCCAATTACTAGTGGCAAACACACACAAGAAAGCCAAGTGCTCCCCACCTAGCCGAAAAAACAGACACCGAATCCAAAACTCCGAAAAAAACAAAAACACGTCAACCAACATATGCAAATGAAATTGAACACCAGGTGCCCACAAACTATCCTACTGTTCCAAGAAACGGACAGTACAATGCCAAATCTTGTCGCGTCTCACAGCAAAGTGCTTCAGCACTCGGTGAAAGAAAGAATCCGGGAAGTCCTTCTTCATCAGCTCGCGTTTCAAAGTCAGAACCCGCCTTGGTATCTCAGATCGGATCGTTGTATTCCTGTCAATCTGATGCAGGTAGCCACTCACCACAGCGCTCTTCTGCCTTTTACATCCCCAGGACAGAAAGGACTGTCCATTATGGATCTTCAGAGGTTCATCCGACCAGACACAATCTTCATTCTTAGACATCTGTATACAGTTCAAGTCGGGAAAGAACTTAGACGTCCTAATCTGGCAGCCCAAAAAGTCAAAGGTCCCGCCGCCATCATCTGTCTGCTTTAAGGTTAATGCGTCTGGATAGCACTCCTCAAAGCCAGCTAACAGTCGATCTGCTTGTTCCTGGTCCTTGGTCGCAGTGACAAACATGACGTCGTCAACCAGACGATAGCCGAACATGCACCGGGCATGTCTGCCCAGGCTCCAAAGGTAAAGAAACTCCGAATATGCACACAAAATGCCAGCCAAAGGAGGGCTAGTTGTTTTTCCCATTGGGATCCCAACTACTTGCTGCAACAACACGCCTGTCGCAAAAGTGTAAGTGTGCTTTAACTCCAGTTTGATGAACGCCAAAATATCGGTGAGGTTCAGCTTACGCCAGTGGTCTGCGCCCGTAGTAACCCCGAAGGAAGCACCTTTCCCTCTTGTGTTCACCCGAATGAAAGCACGACCCTTCGACAAGTGAAAAGCGATAACCCACTCTACCGCCCTCAAAATGTCGCAATGTGGAAGGCGACTAAACATTTCTTTAATGTCGAATGAGTGGGAGGACACCTCATAACCCTGCCCTAAACGCAAAATCCGTCTGTTCGCATCCTGTAGGTGCCGTGGTAACATTGATACAGAATGCAGGTTGAAGTGCCAGCCTCGGGGAACGGTAGACAACAGATGGTTCAGGGCTCTAGAAACAACTCTCCCGGTTTTAATCATTGGCTCGTTAAACGTCGGACAGATTGGCCTATATCTGCCCAAGTCCTTGTGCTTGGGTATGATATAGGCCGATCCGAAAGTCCCAGACTTGTCCCATTTGGCAAAGCTACCCAACTTAGCCTCAGCTAAATCCTCGCTGATTTCCCTCAATGTTTGCGCTTCTGATGCTAATCTGATCTTGTATCCTGGGTTCCGTACAAAGGTGTCCATCATCCCCTCGAAAAACACAGCTGGGCACATAACGAGCGTCTCCCCGGGATTCCGGTCGAGGGGAGTAAGGACTAGCCCATCAAAACGACACTTGACATCACGGACGTGGTGTTTGTACAGAGAAGGAACACACACTTGAGCCTGGGAGAAGCACTCACGAAGTGTGCCAATAGAAACCAAGGGAGGCTTCTTACGGCAGTTCTTCCACCTGTCGAAGCCGGCAGCGATCTCCTTCTGAAGATTGGCTACTCGATCCTGTTCCAACACGCGCGGTATGTTCCTCGCGTTGCTCAAAAGAGGGTGAATTCCCTCAAGCCGACTTAAACGGAAACGGACGTGGCCCTCCTCACGCGGATAGGGCAATCCTGCACAGGTGCAGGTGAGTACACTCCTGTTCGCAAAAGTGCGGTGGTTGTGTACTAATTCTGCAACAGATGGGTTCTTGACCCATACTATGCGAATTTTCCTCCGAGCCCGCTGTAAGTAGCAAGACGGCAAATCACACAACATTAAGCAATCATTGACAACCTTACGTAATTCCGACAATCTAATCCTCTCATCATACTTTACACGAAACACAGGATCCGCCCCCATGCAAATATCGAAGCGATCCCGAAAAATTTGGGAGATCAACCGCCGCAAATACTTCCGAGTCAATTTTCGGGAAAAATCCTTCACCACGTTATACAACCTGAGCAAAGATCTAATGCCCCATCGATACACAACATTAAGTCGACGGGGGTTACGCAAAATCCCAATTAGCACATCCTTCAAATAACTGCTCCGCGGTTTCCATTTGCAGATATGGGAGAAGCAAAAGATTCCCCCTCCCTCGAAGGCAGATTTACAATCCTCAAGTCCACGGAGATCCTTATCAACACTCACCTTAGTCTCACCGAATATTTTAATGATTCCCTTCCAGCCACCACTCCATGTATTCCCAGGCTCAAACTCACACAATACCTTCGTGTGGCCCAAAGCATGACACTCATTCAGTATGCGAAACAGATTAACGCCCCAAGGTTCATTCCGATTAACTCGCATACGGACAGGAACGAAGGTCACTACATTCGATGCTGTCCCCCCATCCTTCCTACGAGCTGCTGCCCTTTCCTTCCGTCCCGGTCCCTTCTTCTTCTTCCCAGATGCTTTAGGATTCCCAGCAGTGTTAAGAAATGGTGCCCATTGTTGAATATACAGCCGCTCCAAACTGCCTAAATCGGTACCTTCAAGGACATCTACAGGAATGAGCACGTACTTCTCGATTCCGAAAGTACATATCCATCTATGAAAGTGGGACTGTTTTCGTTTACGACATGCATATACGTGCTCACGCCATCTCACGACAGTAGTGCGAGTAGTCTTCCCAACATACAAAGACTTGCAATACGGTGAGGCCCCGATATATACACAGTTCGATAGTCTAAGGAAATCCAGACCGTGTTTCTCATACAAACGTAACCAGCTCTTTACACACTTACCTAACCATCGGATATGCCCATCTAATGCCAGGCTCAGGATAATCAGACACAATAATTCTTCCACTCTCGGATCAAACGTATACTTCCCCTTCCTCAACTCAGTCAAGTACTTGCCAAGCTTCCACAGCTTCGGCGTCTCCAAGGGTCCTCAGGCAGCGACGTCCTCGGATCCGCCCTCGCGGCAAGAGCCATCTCCCTGGTGCTCAGATTCTTCGACAACGATCACCTCGGCATTCTCCTGCGAAGCGGTGCCAAACTTCGACATTACCTTCATGTCGGCAATATCAAGAATAGACTCAATTTTACCATTGTAGGGAATGCCCTCCTTCTTGCACAGCTTCTGCAATTCGACAACATTGAGAGATTTCAAATCATCGATCATTTTGTTCCGATAGCGCAGACGTTCCAAAGCCCTGCGTGTAACCGGGGTGAATGGTGGCATTCGCGGTGGAGTCGCTCTGATCGTTTTCGGAGTCTTTGGTGTCTTGCGTCCAGATAACGGCGTCTTCACAGGAGAGATGATAGTAGGTGATCGCCCTGGAGTCTTCTTCAACGGCATGGTCCCAGACGGTCTCCGCGCTCTTGCCCGGGTCATGCGAGCCGTCAGCTTCACAGGTTTCAATCCTCCTTGCTTCGGTGTTCGTTTAGGTGGCTTGTCCATAGGAGGGCTGTCCTCGAGTACAGCCTCGGGTCCACGTTTCCGTTTCTCCGAGATCTGCAGCCTCGAAGTGCGCTCACTTAGCTCTTGTGTAACACTCGTGTCGCTGGCTTCACTTTCATCGCCGGACTCATAGATGACTTTCTTCTTCCCATTCTTGTCAGCTGTAGTGTACAACGGTCCAATCACGCTATGCAATCTCTGAAACCAACTGCCCTCCATTTCGTTCAGTCTAATTGCCACAGAGAGGTCCACATCCTTTTTCATCTGTGCTCGTCTTTCCTTCTCAGCATCGGCGGCTTTTTTCAGTTCCTCCGCGCGCTTCCGAGCTTTTTCCGCAGCCTGCGCCTCCTTCTCCTCCTGTCTCAGTCTCTCCGCTTCCTCACGCTCAGCAGCTTCCTTCATCTCTCGCTTCTTTCGCGCCTTCTCTTCTTTCTTCAGATTCTGCCGCTCGACAAAGTCGTGCATGGCCGACACCGACTTGCTCAACTTCATCACGGTCGTTCTAATCTCCGAATCCCTCTCAGGCGAATCCCTCCTTCTACGAGGGTCATACCTTCTTGGCGATCGAGATCCCCGGAAGTCAGCAGAGGTTGATGGTCTCGCTTGATGATGCCTCGGGGCCCGATTTGGGCACTGTTTCGCGTAGTGCCCTGCTTCATTGCATGCAAAGCACGTAGGGGGCCTATACCGCCTTCGGTCATCAGGCCTACCACCGCCGGCGTTCACTCCATCTCGTTGATCAGTGTTCGACATCACGGAATCCTCTCCTCCGTAACTGTTCAGTGGCTGCCTGCCACAACTTCCTTCTTGGTACGTTGTCAAAAGAGAGACAGTCACGCTGGATAACACGCTCACTCCACCCGGCTGAACTGGACCCCAGGTAAGTTAACATGCGCAATACACAGTAATAGTGGTATCACAGAGTCAAAGCATCACAAGGACGTTCGAACTGCAAAGTATAAAGCATCAATGAGTGTATCTCTTCAAGAAGATAGAAAGAATTCATACTGGATTGCGTCCCCGACGCGTTTCGATGGCCGCCACCATCTCATCAGGGGGTTGCCCGCCACGTTCCCACACTAGTCAAACTACCCACGCCATCCCTCTCCCGTCCTTCACTGCGCTAGGTCTCCAGAGACCGTACACAGGTCCGGCCGTTAGTCCTGCTGATACTACAAGCAATCAATGCTAATATAGCCTAGACTACTTGGAACGAAAAACACCTATGAAAAACTATCGACGCAGGTCCCTACCCGTAGTCCTACTCGGGGCCGTCCTTCCAGATCAGACCAAGCCTGGGCCCGTCGTCGTACGAAAAAAACACTCATCAGAGCCGACAACCAAAAAAGCAACCCAGCGGGCTGCGATGTAACGAAGTCAGGAAAAAACGCAGTGTCGGTCCTAGTTGAACCAGTATACCCTTTTCTTTTTAACCTTTTTTTTTTTGCAAATCAATTAAATAATTTAAATTTCCTTTTTTTTTGCTGGTCATCAGTTTGATGAACTTTGATCAAATGAGGTCACATTGTGGACTGCCAGAAAAGAAAGAGAGAGGGAGAGAGAGACTGACAAGCAGTTTGAAAAACTTAGAAATAAATTTAGTTAAGCGGAATTTAGTCCTGCCAGTGGAAAAAAAATCCTGTTCAAGGCTTCAAGCGGAAAAAAAATCAAAAAAATCCTTCTTTTTTTTTTTCTTTTTTCTCTTTTTTCAAGGCTTCAAGCGGAAAAAATCATGTTCAAGGCTTCAAGCGGGAAAAAAAAAAAAATCCTGTTCAAGGCTTCAAGCTGAGAAAAGAAAAAAAAGTTAAAAAAACAAAATTTGAAGAGTATCGGGACGATATCTGCAGCACTTGCAACACTTGTAAGCATTTATGTCGGGGCTTTGACCCAGAATCGTTTTTTTTTTTGTTTTTTTTTTGCTTTTTCCTGCCAAGTGGACATCACTGCCAGTCTGCCACCAATTCATTTGTGGATTTTCATGTTGTGCACTTTCCATCACTGTGAAGTTTCCAGTGCGTCTTTGCGAAGTTTCCTTTCCATCATCTGGAGATCTGCTGTCACAAAAACAAACGGCTTGGCTGTCTACTGTACCGCAATAATTAATGATGATGAAACGTTTATATGGGATACCCTACCTAGGTATGGGTCCTTTATATCAGACACCGTACCTATATATGTCTTTACAAGTTTATATGGGACACCCTACACAGACAACCCAAAGGAAAGGGAAAAAACTTCGAAAAAGAAAAGAAAAGAGATGTCATTATGTCATCTAGAGACATTGCGATTCAGTTAGCTCCCAGTATCTATTTAGGCGGCACAGACGTTAACAGATTAGACAGACCCTCACACATATATCTCCCTTTCCTTCTCCTTCTCTTTCCCTCCCCTAAGTTCCCTTACCCTTAATCAGGCTATGTGAGTAGTGCGATCTGTTGGTCGCCATGCTCTAGCCATACCTCACACATTTCTCCCCTGATGCTGCACACGTTTTTACAATGAAGTTCAATCATATTCATTACCCTTGAACGAGTTGACGACCAACAACAGTTGAAGATCTATTTGCATCCAGTGAAAAAACACGTGTTCATACGCTGCTGCTGCTGCTGCTGCTGCTGCTGCTGCTGCTGCTGCTGCTGCTGCTGCTGATGCTGATGCTGATGCTGATGCTGATGCTGACTGATGCTGATGCTGATGCTGATGCTGATGCTGATGCTGATGCTGACTGATGCTGACTGATGCTGACTGATGCTGATGCTGATGCTGATGCTGATGCTGATGCTGATGCTGATGCTGATGCTCCAGAGAAACACACGTATATCTCTCTTTCCTCCTCCTCCTCCTCCTCCTCCTCCTCCTCCTTCTCATAATCATCATCATCAAACAGACCGTCACACATTTTCTCTCTGATGGTTTACAATGAAGTTCGATCCTTTGTTCTTTTTTTTTTTCTTTTTTTGTCAATGTCCCTGAGCCATACCCCAGGGACTGATAAGAGCAGCCCCCTGTGGTAGGCCGTGGACGGCTCCAATCTATTGGTGGGGAGCAGCACCTGCTGGAAATCGGGTCCAGCATCCCTTAACAAAATAATCCAAACTTATTCATTACCCTTGAAGGAGTTCACGATCAACACTTTGAAGATCTGTTCGCATTCGGTGAAACACAGATGTTGATGATCATGCTGCGGCTGCTGCTGATGCAGCAGAGGGTTATCCTCCTCCTCCTCCTCCTCCTCCTCCTCATCATCATCATCATCATTTTTATTATGACAGTGCAGGTGAGAGATCCATGTCACAGATCTTATCGTGGCTCTGTGAACGAGTGATGCCCCAGCCCCTGTCTCTTATACACATCTAGATGTGTATAAGAGACAGCTCCTCCTCCTCCCCTCCTGCTCGTCCTCCACGTCCTCCTCCTCCTCCTCCTCCTTCTCCTCATCCTCATCCTCATCCTCATCCTCATCATCATCATCATCATCAGCAGCAGCAGCAGCAGCAGCAGCACCAGCCTCAGCATTATCAGCTGATAACCGCCCATGAGGCGCCGTTAATACGGCCCCATCTCAATGCATCGGGACGACTTGTCGATCAATAGAGTTTGGTAGATATCATGCCTGACACTCAATTCAATCTGAGCAGCTATGAAAAATTATATATTTTTGGCAAGTTTCGCTTCTGGTTTATCGAGAAAGGGCGTAGTTGCAAGCTAGATACAACGAGATTCTGGAGGGGCAGATGGCTGTCAGGTGCATGTAAAGGAAAAGGTACAGATACTACAGATGGATTGATACAAGTGACCATCATGATGGAATATTGTTGAGTCTTCTGCATATTAAGATGAATATTCAAGGTGATGGATTCTTGACTTGAGGACGTAAAGACCGTTCAGAGTATTGTGAATGAAGGAAGCAGTTCTGTACACGAGCAGGGATTGGAGAGGTAGCGCGTACCTCTTATCGCACACACGCACGCATGAACACACACACACACACACACACACACACACACACAAACACACACACACACACACATGCAATAAATCGCAGTTTCCCAGTGGGGCCCACGGGCTGTAACCTAAGTGTTCGGCTTTGTAGTTTGTTTTCTTGTTTTGAGCCTGCGGGACTTGATCCCATGACCTCTAACTTTTATGTTTTGTTTGTTAGTTTTGAGACCTATTGGGCTTGAGTCGCTTGACCCCTAGATCTGTCACTAGTAGTCCCTATGTGGCAGTCTCAGGCCATTCGGCCTTTTCCTTTTGCCTTGCCAGGGGTTTGGGTCCCCTTTTCCCTAGTTTCTGGGTAGATACAGATGAGCCTAGGGCTGGTGTCTTTGGAGTCCCTCTAGGTCTATTCCGTGAAGCTCAATCAGGTACATAACACACGCACACACACACACACACACACAACCCTTTCCTCTTCCCCATTCCTTTTTCTTCTTTAGGACCATGTCAACCGGCTTAGTAATCTCACAAGTCGTTCTCGCCCCTAGTCGAACCTAGTAGGAGTTTCTGTCGAATGTGCTGTCCCTGCTAGTCCTTCGGATTGCCGACGGAATGTCGGAGCTAGCCTGGCATGGTGGTTCGTGCCGTGCCGTATCCAGAATACACACACACACACACACACACACACACACACACACAAGGAATTCCTAATCGACGTGGAGGCAGATCAAAATATGGTACCAAAAAACCCCAAATTGAAATATGAACCAAAAAATCTCACAAGTCTCGTTCTTCGAGCCTTTGATTTTAGAGAACTGCCATAAAAGCACATTCATAGAGATGCGAAGCGTCTGCATTTTGTGTCCAGCATGTCTTGCTGCACTCCGTGCCTGGAGCTGTGATGCAAGCCCCCTGGCGCTTATACAAGATGAGGCGGAAGAGCGGTCGTTTTCGGGGAAGCACGCAAATGCACGCTGGCCTTCGGCCCTCTGCCTGCTGTTGGTCAAAACCAGCAAGGTAAGAGTGGTGAAATACTACATGGGGGCAGATCATCTACCGTAGAATCTTGTTTTATGTATGAATTATTTCCTTTTTCTTGATTGTTTTTCTCACATTTTGTGTCTTGCGAGCACCTTTAAGAAGTGCTAAGCAGTCAGTGGTCGGTTGCTTGGAGTGCCTGCAGGACGCTTAAGGGGGGCAAGCTCTCTGTGATGACTGTAGTGCATATTTGGTTATGGGTGATGGGAAATGTCCATCGCCGTGGCTTCCTGCCTCAGCGGGTGGTGGGAAGCAACAGTCTGCGGGGCTCTTCTTCTGGACCAGGTGCGAGTAGTAGGCCTTGTATGGCTTTGCTCCATGTTGGATGCGCGGATTGCCTTGTCTATGATCAGCGGCTGCCTTATTTCCATAGCACTGTGCTCTTCATGTCGTTCTCCGCAGCTGGCGCTTTGCCGTGTACTTTGGCAGCTGAGTTGTTGGTGTTGCGTTGTGCTTCGCTACGCTGTTGCATTGCTGTCCATCTGCACGCCGTGTCTTCCCATGCAATTTTGCCAGTGTGACGTGCAGTTTTCCCGCTGCTGCAGCACTGCTTTGTGCTTCGCTATGCTGTTGCTTTGCTGCAAGTCACCTTGCTCTGCCGTTCCATGCAGCTACCATCTTTACCCAAACGCCCGGTCATTACAGCTGTATTTGGTGCCAGTTTCAGTCCATATACGGCTCAAATGACAGGGCGTTCTATTCGGGTGTGCCCTGGCTGGGTTGCCTGGTGCTTCGTTGAGTTGTTGCCTGCTGCTATGTTCCACTTGCGATGTTGGCTGCTGGCAGTCTCCTGTCAACATTGATTTAAAGGGTTCGTGACCCAAAGCATCAATATGGGGATTTCGCAGATTGTCAAGTATTCAGCCTCCTCAGGAGTCGGCGCAGCTCCGACAAAAACAATCGATTAATAATTTATTAGGTTTTTTTTTACTTTTTTTTTTTTTGCTTTTTTTGGTACTTGCCGTCTTTTGTGTGTGTTTCTTTGGCTTGCTGCTCATTGGCTTGGTGCCTTTTCCTTTGCTGCTTAGCGTTGTTTGTCCGCCCACCCACCTCCCCCATCATCCCCCCATGCCCTCCACTGCCGTCCAGCCTATCTTCTTCCCTGCTGCTGCCGTCCAGTGCCTTCTTGCCTAGTGCCGTTTGTCTTCCCACCCGCCTCCCCATGCCCTCCAGCCTATGTTCTTTGCTGCTGCTTGTCAACCAGTGCCTTGTTGCTTCCTGACTTTTGCCGTCAAGTTGCCATTTTTGCCTCACTGCTGTTTGGCTTGGTTTTTGGCTTATGTTTCTTTTTTTTTTGCTTCATGGCCTTTCAAAAGCTTGACATTATGTGAATTCATTTCACGGGCATTCCAGGCTACGGGCTCATTTTCATGTGTTGTTTGTAAGAAGACCTCTCAATGCAACATACCACAGCCACACGGGCGCAGAAGTCTTGTA